TTTATAGCTGATTGAGCTTGGCCTATTTTTCAGTGTAGTCCTGTTTCTCTGACTGTGACTGCTGGATGTGCTCTTTTCGTCCTCTGACGCTGGGGTTGGATCGGAGCTCCTCTGTGTGGCTGTATCTTTCCTGGATGGGGCCGCCTGTGGAGTTAGTTGACAAGTTCCTTTTGGTATCTCTGCTTATTTCTGTATGCCCGCGTCTGTCTCCTTGAACCCTACTCAGCCTCGACAGATGGACGCTCTCACTGAGCCTGGTTCTGCTCGAGGTTTCTTCCTGTTAAAGGGGAGTTTCTCCTCTCCACTGTTGCTACAAGCAGGCTTGGAGTGAGGCATTACCTTCGAGTCAATGATTCAATGCAATCAACTGGTTTTCCTTAGATATAAAACTTTGAATCAATTTGGCTGTATGATCTGGTATAATTAAAGTGCCTTGAGATGACATGTATTGAGAATTGTAGCTGTATAAATAAACTGAATTGAAATAATCATCTAATCTAAAGTGCTCTTCTGCCATCATCTGTTGGGGTAGCAGCATTAAAGCAGATAATAAAGAAGCTCAGCAAACTACTAAAGCTGTTACAAGAAATTTGCTTGAATCTATGAATATATTTTCACACATCCTTTTTTTCCGACAAAATTATAAAAAAAAAAAAAAAAAAACGTCCTCTATATCTAACTGCAACAACAGAATATTTTCAGTTAGACGCTCTCCAGAGCATTTAAAAAAAGATTCTTCCTGCCAGTATCATCTACTGTAAAACACCTCATTGCAGAAAAAGTTAGAAAATAGGATATAAAATAATTTAATTGAAATTTGAAGGAATATAACTGAATGGGATTCTGCACTTTTGTGATGTGACCTGTTGGCAAATAACCAAAACCAATATGCACACATGAGCACACTTGTTTGGAAATGGTACCTACCCCTAAGGTAAGCGTTCCTTTCCTATGCACCAAATCTAAAATCTATATTGTTAAAATGTACTGGAAATTAAATAAAGGTTTTCTGAAAGTTGAATTAAAGACTTGTTGATAAATATGTCTTTACAGTTAAATCAAGTCAGGCTCTTGCCTGTTTCTCACCTCTTTGTCCACTTTCAGAACTTTTGCTTCTGTGTCGTATCTTGCCTCATCAATTTTGTCAATGGCCTGATGGAGCTTCTTGCACACTTCCTGTGAGCAAAAGAAAAAAAGCATATTTTATGACTCTGCTGCTGAGGTGGTTCCCTTCCCAATAACATCATTCTTGTTTCAAGGATTATTGTGACACAATAATTACAAGACAATATGTGGTGTTTTATTTTAAATAATATCAGCCCTTTTACAGGAAGACTTTGGAGTCTAGGAAGTACTCAAACAACAAAAAAAAATTGAATATAGAAAGACATACATATGGCCCAAATAGTGTTACATTGGAGTGAAATAGAGCGTTGAAAATATAGATCCACCTTATTTTTCATCTCATGAAAAAGGGGGACTTCAAATAAAGGTTATTTGCCAATTCCAATGACCCTATTAAACACTATTAACATTTAAATGATCCATTTGTTAACTTTTAGGTTTCGTATGAACTGCAGCAAGTCCCTGAATTTGAAACAGGTTTATATTGCAACACTCAAACCCTGTGAAGATTTGAGCTTTTTGACATTTTGGTTCAGAACTGGCTAAGATGTTTATACTTATTATACTTATTCCCCTGGATGGTTGGGCTAATACTGCTGAGGAGCGCATTAAACATATAGGATGGCATTCCCACATACGTAGTTGCCACATGCAACCCTAGCTTCCCCATTAGTTTGTAGTAGTAACTATGTTCTAGGTTCCTTACTGTCAGAGCCTCCACCAGAGGGCTCTCAGTCCTTTTTCAAACCAGTCCTCATCTGGCCTTTTGCAGCTGCCAGGTGGTCTACAGCTGGTCTACTTCAGATATCAGCATTGGAAGACCATGGGAAAGGATTTAGTAAGGCCTAGAGGATTTCCTGATTTTAGTCTCTTTAGGACTACCTGTATTATGAAATTGTATGAAATCTGTACTACCTAAAAATCAAACATATTTCAAACATATATATATATATAAACATATATCTATATATATATATATATATATATATATATATATATATATATATATATATATATATAGGTCATATATATATATATATAAAGGTTTATACATACCGTATAAAAATCTTTGCATGACCTATATTGACCTACTCTGAATTAGCTGAGTAACGCCCCTTCTTAATGTATAGTGGAGGAAGTTTTTTTTTCGGGGTGGATCATCAACATAAGGGGTCCTCCTAATTCTCAATCATTCTGATATGATATGTTTACGTAAGGCCATTCTACGTGCTCGTCGCCATTTTCTCTTACCGCTGGTGAGGCTGACATAGTGGAAAAATTGCAAATCTTCTTTAAGAAAGTAAGCTTGTAAAAGCGATGCAAACAACAACTTTAAAACAGAGCGTGCACGAGGAGAAATGGGCTAATGCATGCTCTTACACACCTTCAATAGGCATTCCCTCTCGGGAGAAGATACAGGGTTGCCCATATTCATTTTTTTTTTTAAGTAGAGAGGGCAGGTCTTTTCAAAAATTTGCAAAAATCCTCCACTATAACTTTAAGATTTAGTTCCCTATTGCCTTATTTGTTTGTCATACTGACCATGAGTGCATTCACGTCTCCACTGAGGTCAGGCGGGGGGCAGTTCTCAGCCATATAGGCCTCTTTTGCTGCTGCAATTTCCTTCTTCTCCTCCTCAAGCATTTTGGTAGCAATCTGCAGCATTAAGCTCTGTAACAACAGATTTGGACATGTAATAAGTAATCTCCACACAGTTCCATTTTCTGAAGAAAAAAAAAAAGCTAAATTAAACCCTGACCTTTAATTGATGCCTGCGGCTTGATGTCATTTTCTTTCCCCTGTAAGGTAAGAGAAAATGGAAATAAGAATGGATAAATCAGATATTCTTCATGACAAATGTTAATCAGTGTGTTAGGGATTTCTTTTTTCATCTTGATCATTAAGTACCACCAACAGAAAATACATGCTATTCATAATATTGTCTAATGACAGGAGACAACTACATCTTTAGTCTTTTACAATATACTGTAGCTGGAAGATGAATGCTGGTTGGTTATTCTGCCTTCCAGTATTGCTAAGCCAAGATACCACTTTACTGAGACAGTTCAACCAGATCATTAAGTCAGGCTGATTGCATTGACTCATTGACACAACAGCAATCCCTCACACCAACATAGAAACACTGATCTATAAAAACTTTCTATGTTAAAGAAGCTAATAGTAAACTATTCTACAGCAATAATAAAACAGTTAATTTATTAAAACCTGATTTTGATCTCCTTTTGGGAAATGTATCCCTTAATTTTATTTATGATAATAAAAACAACCTCCTCAACAGACAGATTCAGAACAAATTCTGACATATAAGCATACATTTATTGGCAGTGAAGGAGAAACTAATCATTAGGACACAACTCAATGTTATTGTGCATTTTGCACCGTATTTATTTTGCAATGCACTGAACCTTTCCATATTTTGCCCCTTTGCACCATTGTTGTTTTTAAATCTGTTTTCCTTGTCATCTATACTGTTTACAGGATGATCACTGCTGCACTTTATAAGGACAAATGTTGTAAGCGGTAAGCAATGAAATTTAGTTTTATATACACTTGGTGTATACAAACTGACAATAAAGTTTGTCTAAGTCTAAGAAAAGAAACCATATCTGCCCTCATTATGAAAGGTTTAGCCAACTGATACATATAGTGGAAATTCTTGCCATTTCTTAATTTCTTAGATAACGAAATCAGATATTCAAGATGAAGTCTTTGGCAAAATATCAAATAAACTAATTTAAAAGCTACTCAAAAATTTCTAAAATACATTTTCTTTTGTACTGATTATAAAAAAACTAAATTAAATATCTAAGATATTACTACAAGTTGAAATCTGAAAGATCCTGCAAAAAGAACAAGAATTCGTTAATTGATTCCCAGTAAAAATATCATAGCCTATATGGAAAATAATACTTACTCAGACATTTTGGCCCTGTTTGATCTTCACACTCTGTTCAAACAGAGAAAATAATTTTGTCAAGTAAGTTTAGCCACAATGACTCTTTATAAGGTTAAAAAAGGCACATCATGTTGCATCCCTGTTGTTGATTAGATAACATTTAAATCTCAGTAGGGAAGGGAATATGCTTTAGGATAAACACAACCATGTTTTCAAAGAAGCTTTTTTTAGCTGGGTGGGGTCAGATGCCTCAGTCACAGCGGTTAACAGTTGGCCCAACGTAAGACATATTGCCTGAGACTGAACTTGTAACAGTAACCCAAAGATCAGAGTACAAATAGACACCAGCACCACACAAAAATGTGGTGCAGGCAGTCACAGCAGATGATTGATTATAACATGCTACAGAAAATCTAAACACTGGGAATTTAACCACTTTAACAATGTGTATGTATAAAGTTTGATATCTCATAAATTTGACCTGTTTTCATTTACTTAATTCTAAACAACCCACATTATAATGAAATAAAAAGCAAGGCACACATCAAAGTTCATATTTAGTTAAACTAACAATGTTTGAATGACAACTCAAAGCTTTTTCAGCATGTATGTAAGTAGCCTGCATATTCCTTAAAAAATATTTAAAAAATCTCAGCTGATATTAATTTACAGAAATACTTTGTTAAATGCATTTTCAGAATGAATCCATGTCCTACCTGTAAAGGAAATTTAAGAGGAACTCTCACTAGTGGCTTCTGACTGAGCAAGCTTAGGTGATGAGGACACGGAGTCGCAGAAGAGATACTGCCAACTCCCAAACAGTAAAGAATAATCATGTATATATGGTGTTAACTGCCAGCTCAGCAGTAAAGTAAGAGCTCTTTATGGTAGCAGAGCCACTTCAGACCAATGGGCCAGCAGGATCCAGAAATACCACCGCAACTCTCTGCAGAACCTCATAAATTTTGGTGCAAGAAATCAGCTCACTATTAGGTTGCCACTGTCAGAGAAAAGTGGGGACTGAAGTAATTGTTACAGCGAAGAGAGGGAGATTAGTTGACCCAATGCATGCCAGGTGAACACGGAGCGCAGGAGACTGATACAGCAGACTGAGCCTCCAGCATCCACTGAAAAAAACGCAAATAAAGTGAAGCTGCAGTAGGCAGCTCTACAAATAGATCAGAAGGTTAGTGAAGCTTTCGTTTTTAATAGCAAGAGAAGCTGTTAAAAGAAAAGAGTGCAAGTAATTAAAAAAACATGTTACTGAATTTTTCTGTTATGAGCCGCATTTAGGGGGAAAGTATAACATTTCGAAATTAATATTAGAATCAGTATAAAATCGAGAAATTATCAGACCTTTTTCTTATCGATTTCCAAATAGATTCTTATGTGTTTTTGAATTATAGGAATGAACGTTTTTTGATTAACCTTAGTAAGCTAAGTGGGTAAAATAAATTGAATCTTTCTTTGGAAAATAGCTCTTTTAACATTCTTAATGAGACTCAAATATGTGTATGTAATAGATACTTACGATGATTTGAAAAAAAAAGAAAGGTTGCCCTTTAGATTGACATGCTACATCAAACAGATATGGCCTGTAAAATGCTGATTCATTATTTCTAGTGAGATATTGCAATTTCCACGTAGAAGTAACTGAGGTTTCACCTGTTGATTACGTAAAAACTATAAGAAAACTAAACAAACTGATGGGAAGCCACTAATTTGGTTCTTCTCCATGCTTATCGGTAAGATAAACGGTAAGGACATACCTTATTTTCTTTATTCAGCACTTAAAGAATCATCCGTGGTGATTTTACTACATCTAAAAAAAGAACAAAAAACAGCAATTAGCATAACAGATGTGTCAAGAAATGAAAAGCATGTTGAAAAAGAAGAGTCAACACAACTCACCTAGAAATTAAACGGACAGACTGTACACCTTTCATTACCAGGTGTTGAAAGAAACAGATAGTAGATTACCTTTGTAACTTCAACACAGATCTCATCTTGTGTTTCTCTTTTAATTGGTGTGAATTGATCTGAATGATTTCCAATAATTTCCCCATTAATATTGCTTTAGCAGAACACTGCACAGTATCCTGCAGAATAGTTAGATTTGGGAGCGCTCTGCTGGCACTGTGAGGATTGTTTTGGTAACTCTACTCTGAGAATCATTTAAAGCTAGGCAAGAAGAGCCGATGAGCAACAACATTCGTACTATAAATATGAAAATCTATTTTTTTTCTGCTTAGTTATATTGGTTTATACTCATCTCCAGAGCTATGGTTCAATTCTTAATATTTTTTGACAATTTTTTACACCCTGCTACATAGATATAGGCTGAAATATTCAGCAATACAGAAAGGTCATAAGCCCATTAAGAAATTAACCCAAGTCCTAAAACATTGCACTGGTGACATTTTTTGCAGACAATCTTCTCACTTCCCATCTTCTAAAGTTAGATCAGTTATATTAATTTGCCACTAGTGTGTATAGTTTCTTTAGAGTTTTTTTTTTCTTTTTTCTTTTATTTTTCGCTTTTGACTCTGTTATTCATCTCTTTAAATAAAAGATGCCAACAGAAGTTCAACCTTGAAAACTCTAACGAGCAATTTTTTTGGGAACCACTAAAATCTGCAAAGGATTTTACGAGGGATAATTTATTATTTATTAAAGAACATCAGGGAAATAAAACAATATTGTCTTCAGTCAGAGGTTCCTAGACCGTGAACTACAGTAGACTCTTCCTGCCTACAGCCATTGAAACCTACAGTAACCCGTTAAAGAAATGCCATTGAGAGTTACAACAATGTTTAACTTTGGATTAATTAAACATTTTTGATTCTGATTTAGATTAAATTTAGACAGGACTGGGAGCAGTGAGTTTTAAAAAATGAACATTAGAATTGAGGGGAGACAGTTGGTGCTGTGTAAATGAAAAGACGTTTACAAATGTAAAACAAAGGCACCTACACCAATCTAAACCCTTGCTTTCTATTTATTCATTTATCTGCGATTGATATTTGAAGAACATATTTAAGCAGGACATTGTTGGGATCAGTATCTTGGACAGTGAAATTTTTTGACTGGAAAAGTTGGAGATTCAATGACCAACCATACAACAGGTCAACTGCTCTACCTTCTGAGCTAATGTTATTTCTGCATTAAACAAATGTACAATAACAAAAACAGGCTGACACACACTTTTTTTTTAAACAAAAGATGATTCAATTCAAAATGATGGACATTTCAAAAAGGTGTGAACAGCCCAGAGCAACTGGAGAGTAGAGTTCAGTTCTTTAAGAAGTTTCAAACATCTTCTTTCTGTCAGCTTTGTCCTCAATGTTCTTACGCCAGTCTCCAACGGCGTCTGTGGGCTGAAACACACAATCACAGTGCATTGTTTGTAAAATCCAACAAATCACCCCACCAAACAAAAAAAATCTAGTCTGATCTTTCTCTACCAAACCCTCACCTCCTCCTTGGTCTCCTTCTTGACCTGCTTCAGGTTGGCCCTCAGGTCTAGATTAACCGTGTGTTTGGAGCCCAGCAGAGCCTTCAGCATAGCATCGGCAGACATACGCACTTTCTTCAGGGCAGGTTTCTTTACTCCAGCCAGGTCCACAACTTTAATCTTTAGATCTTCAATCTGCAAGTAATGAATCTGTTTCAAACTAAAGCTAAATAATATATTCTTGTTTTCTTGACGCAGCACGCTCCCAGCTAGATATAATAGTTGATATTCTGAAATGATGATAAATTAGATCAAAGTTGTCTGCAGGACACCTACCTCTTTATCAGCTTTGCCAACTTTAGCCTCCAAGTCATATCTCTCTTCATCAATTTTGTCAATGAGAGCATGTAACTTTTTGCAGGTTTCCTTGATGCATTTGAAAACAGATGGTGATTTATTGGCATTATTTCATGGATGCTTTAGAAAACAGACAGTGATGGATTTTCAAAATACTTCCAAAGGTTTACAGAATTAAACAAAAAATAAAGAAAATAGCTAAATTAAACAAGCTGTGGTGGTTATAGTATAACAAATTAGCAGGACAGAGATCCAGATAAAACAAAAAATCCCATACAGTATGCTCTCACCATGAGGGTAGCCTGGTCTCCACTAAGATTTGGTGGAGGACATTTCTCAGCCATGTACGCCTCCTTAGCTTCAATTACTTCCTTTTTCTCTTTCTCAAGCCAGGTTGCAGCCACTGACAAAATTAAACTCTGTGGGAAAAACAGGAAAGTGAAAAAAACGATTTTCAATATAGTTTTAGTCTTTATTGAAGCACATATTTCTTTCTATGTGATAATATTTTTTTCTCTAGATTTGTTAAGTTTTTGGGAAAAAAATACAAACGATCAAAGGCAAAAGTAAACCCCAAAAAACGGTTCTATTTCTGTCCATCTTCATTTTCACATATACAATGGCTTTTGTTTTGTTTTTGCTTTTTTAGAGAAATACTTATTTTGAAAAGAGGAAGTGTTGACACTCTTATTTTTGACTTTCTGTCTGTTGGTGCACCTGTGCATGTGTACACCGAGCCTCACTGCAGCTCAGCATTCTGTCTGATCATAGCTTGGAACACAGAGGGTGTTGCAAGAAAGAAACGGAGCAGAGAGGTCGTGTGTGACAATAGTCTACTGTGCTAAACCAAATAGCACCTCTTAGCCAGGTTTTGGTTGTAGGATTAGAAAACTGAGCTCAGACTGAATTAAAGCATGTGGTGTTGCTGGCTTGTTAAGTTGGAAGCTTCTAATTTGTTTTCAAATAATAATATTTAACTTATGCTGCCCCTATCTCCAGGTGCTTCCTAACAAAGCCTCCCTGTCTCCCTTCAAACACTGGTCCACAACGTTCCCAGCAAAGGCCTCTAGTCTTCTGCAATGCATGTTTTATATTTTGGCATACATTTTTACATGAAGAGAGAGAGAGAGAAAGCAGAAGCACACCAAACTCTGCTATCAACTTACCTAAATAAGAATGCCACTGTTAAATTTAGGGCATGTATGCATTTGTGCCAGCGTGGTCCACTGATCATGCACCCTTGACATTTATCCAGGAGGATATCCCTTTGGCTGACTGGTCAGTGCTCATGACTTTCAGCATTTCCGTAGATAGGGATAAAAGTATTTGAAACTAAAATTCATCAATAAACAGTCGCAGACACGGTACCTACTATAGGCTGGATTAAAAAAGGATTCTTATCCCAATGTTCTCACAAATATTAGTGCACAACAACAAACTTGACAGCAAATGCTAAGGCATTCACAAATGCTATCAAAATGATCTATTTGCTTGACTTTCTACAAACAGTACCCCACTAAGACAATGTAATAAATCTATTACAACCAGAAAAATTTGAAATAATCGTCATCTTCCTCCAATCCAGTACCACGTCACAGGGGGAGCAGTATCAGCAGAGAATCCCCCAGACTGCTCCTGCCCAAGGCATTCCCTGGTCAGCTGAGAGATATAGTCTCTGCAACATGTCCACGGCCATCCCCTAAACCTACTCCTGGTGGGATGGTTCTGGAACACCTCTCAGGGGAGGCGTCCAGGGGGTATTTAGTAAAGATGTTAAGACACCTTCACAGACTCCTCTCAATGTGGAGGAGAAGCACTCTACTTCCAGGTGACCCGGCTCCAACTGAGCTCCTCATCTTGTCCATAAAAGAGTACCCAGCCACCCTTCAAGGAAAGCTTATTTCAACCTGACCTTGTTCTTTCAGTCATGATCCAGACTTTATGACCATGAGGGTAGGAGCATAGATAGAGTGGTAAATCTAGACCTTTACCTTTTCTGCTTAGTCATCAGTGCCAGATTATTCTCGAGCCAGTGATGGGAGTGTTCCAGTGTTACCATAGTGGCTCTGGTTACCTGATCTGGACCTGTTCTGCCTCTAAGCCACTGAACCTACCTGTTCCTTTCTAAGCCTACCTGTTCTCTGTTTGTTTGACCTGTCTATGGACTCCATCTGGATTCTGCCTGTGTACTGAACTAGGAACTGCTTTCTGATACTGATCTGAAATTCCCTTCGGTCCAGAATCTTGAGCACGTCCTCGACATCGGCTTTGGCTTCACCCTCTGGATTATTCTGCCTTCCTTTGTCTGCCCGGATCTGATCTCCTGCTTGTTTTCCATCCTCTGGGGCTACAGCATCTGGGACTTTCTGGGCATCGCTCACTGCATTTTGCTGACAGCTGACTGGTTGGAATCTACCTCGTCCTCTGAGCACGGACTGAACTTTAGGACCATGATAGTGAATCACACGTTCATAATCTTCCTCTGTCAGATCTACTTGGTCACTTACCTCTGTTTCCTTCCTGCAGAGGTTCCTGTCTAAGACGCTCT